GGCAACATGTCCAAAGTATGTCAGACGAAGCCCCAGAATCCTTGCCTCCAAGGAGTAGCTTGGTTTAAAGGCATATTGTGTACCTTAATTTATTTGTTGCCTCTAAGACTTAGAGCCACTGTTGCTCCCTTTGCAGCCACCCAACATGCTGACCTCAGTTGACTCGACATGTGGGCAAACCACCTGCGTGGTGAAGTGAAGGGACCATCTGCAAAATAACCTCCATTGAACCGATGCTTTTAAATCCCCAAATTAGTCATCCTGGTTGTGGGCTAAAGTGTTGGAGGCTTTCATATTAAATGCACATTAATAAACAAACCTACCACATCTAGGTATAAAGAGATTTCTCAGTTTAAACCGTCTCCTAGTAGATCCTAAAGGAGTGGAACACAGAACAAAAATCTTTTGAAGCAGGGGGGGAAAGGCAGGAGGTGCTAGAAAGAGTCTTCATTCTGAAGTCATGTCCAAACCACACATTTTGATGGCTGACGCCAAAACTGGAAAGCTGTGGTGTGGTCGGGAATCTAGGAAACATTCTGCAAGATCCTTTCAGGTAGCAACTACTTAAGAGTGCTGGTGAGCAGACAAGCCAGGCACATGCTCAGACACCATTTGCAGCTCTCGCCCCATGCTTTGGAAAGTTGGGTAACCACAGCTTTCCAGTTTAATGCATGGCTGTGAACTTGGAATGTTCTGCCAGGACCATGGATCAGTTCATCTGGCTGTGTTTCATTACCTCAGGTTGAGAATTGTCAGGGTATGGTGCTAACACCCTCCTGCAAACCACACTGAGGCATCCCGGTGGTCGAGTCTACATGGAGTTGCACTGCTAACCCAGGGCCAGCTCCTCTCTGGCAGCTCTGATCCTTATGCTCCACAGGGGATCAATCTCTCCTGCAGTTCACACCTTCTGAAAACCCCGGAGGGTCAAGAAATAGGGAGGATCTGTCAGACCAACAGCAATAAGTTGTGTTTCCTTAAAGTATGTAGAAAAGTACTTTGAGTATTTTTCAATAACCACTACAGAATTTTGGAGAAAATAACAAATATATCTATATTGCAATGAATATGGATGACATTCTAGCTGGGAACATAATTTATTGTGGGTCCCTGTGACTTTGTGCTGCTGTTTTCCTTGTCTGTGAAATGGATGTAACCATAGCATTCACTGAGTAATTTTGTAAAGATTATGAGTCTATTTGTGCAAAGTACTTAGAGCAGTGCCTAGCACATGTGAAGTACATTGTATATGTTACCTTTTATTAACTGTAGAAGCTAGGAAAAATTGGGGAGCTCTGGTGACTTAGCACATAGGGAGTTACACTGTTAACCTCAAAGTCACATTTCCCTGGTAGTTTGAATACAGCTGCTTCAAGGGAGAAAGATAGGCAGTCTCCTTCCATGCACTTTACAGCTTCTGTCACCTGCTAGAGGGTAACCTCTGAGTCAGTTCTGACCCGATGGCAATGTTGTTGTTGTTCAGTACCATCGAGTCCGAACCAATCCCATAGCTGATCCTCCAGCAGGTTTTCAGAGGCAGTTAGTTTCATGGGAGAAGATTGCCCACCCTTCTCCTGCGAAGCAACTGGGGGGTTCAAACCACATGCCTTTGGGATTACAGCATAGCTTCTTACCACTGGGCCACTAGAGCTCCCTATGGTAATGAGTTTTGAGTTATTTTGAGCAAAATAAAGGATTGTTTACATTAATATCCCAAACAGTATATATGTTCGGTATCATCAAGTTGACTGTAAGTCATAACAACCCAATGAAAAACAGATCTGAACATTTCCCTGCCCTGCCATCCTCATGATCAATCATGCTCAAACCCACCATGGTAGATACAGTATCTGCCCATCTCTTGAGGGTCTTCCTCTCTTTCACTAAAATCAACAA